ATTCTTCTTCATAATTCACCTCAGGAGACAATTATCTATCAAGGGCATTATTAGATTTCTCAGTTCATTACTCAAATATGACAAATGTGACAAGACAGACATTCATACAATGGATTTCCGCTAGGCAAAGTGTGCTATTACATGATCATGTGACTATGGCAACATGTGTAGTCACCACATCAGTGTCATTAATTTAAATAACACAAAACAAAACCTTTATGTGCAAAGGTAGCATTGGATCACGTGGGCACGTGAAGCTATGGAAATCCCATAACCACATATTATGTTTTCAAGTTAATTTTTCACAACCATAATTGTGTAAGCAGAGTCAATCAGTGCAAAAAGTGGAGCAGAAACTGCATGCCAGAGGGGCCTATGACAAATTAATGCATATTTATTTGTGTGATTGACCGAACAGAACTGAGAAAAAAAAACGCACATCGATGTAAATGCTAATAAAATACTGGAGTAAAGATAAACTTCACTTACAGTTAACTTGAGCAAGATAAGGACACATCACACCCTGACATATCAGTCCCTCCATGATTTCGCGGGACTTTTTTCTGCGGCCTAAAATGGCTGACTTTGCTGCGGCTTTTCTCAAAATTTGCAGTGATATTTGCGGCATTTCTTATTGTTTTGCAGTGAAAATATACCACAGACAACATTCTTCTAACATTGTTATGACTTTATATATATATTAGGGAGTGGAAATGGCTAATAAGCCTGTACTTCTTTGCAGCCATCTACTAGTGGTAATTTAATTTCTTTTTTATTTTTAAAGGGGTCATATGATGCTTTTTTAAAGATCATTATTTTGTGTATTTGGTGTAACAGAATATGTTGACATGCTTTAATGTTCAAAAAACACATTATTTTTAAAATACTGTACATTATTGTAGGTCCTCTATGCCCCGCCTCTCTCAAACGCTTCGTTTTATCATATGACCCCTTTAAATAAATGTTTGATTTCCTACATTATGAAACTTTTAGTTTTATAAATGGGGCAACCTGTGAAGGATGAACAAATAATGCCATCATCACATTAAAAATAACTTTCAAATTCGGTAATACTTAAAGCTTTGAAGTGCTGGGAAAAGTTGTCTGAAGCATTTAAAAACACTCGAAAATATTAGATCATTTCTGCCACAAGTTGTTCCTGTAGTTTTACTACGTTAAATCCATGGTGAATGGTGGTGATTTGTGTTTCTTGTGTTTGCTGGTTTCCACATCAGTAGCGTTTGTTCTGATATCTGTAACTTCAACAGAATTCTGCGCCGAATTTGAATGCTTCTCACAAGATTTCACAGATGTTATTGATTCTGCGGCGAATTCGACTACTTTCTTCACTGTATCTCCCAGCGCTATGTATAACGGTGTTGCGTGATCGAGATCAGCCTGCGGCTCCGGCGGCCGGCCCGAGCAGATAAACGGTCTGCGAAGCATAGCCCAAATGAGTAGCGCGGGTTCATTCCGCTTTCGGTTTGTTTGTCCAATGTAGCTCTTGTAAATCAGTCATGATGAGAACGCAAGGCTGTTCATTCCATTTTTGGAACTGAGAAACAACCTTTCTTTGACTGAATGCGCGTTGTGATGACGTCACGGGACGCGTCTAAGCCCAAAATCTGCAGGAAATATGCAGCAATTATGAAAATTTGCGAGCTCTTGCGAAAATTGCGGGGTTTGCTTGATTTTGCGATAAATTCAGCGATCGCAAAATCGCAGAATCCTGGAGGGACTGACATATGAACTTTATAACAGCCAATTTCCTTTGTCTAAATATGAAAATGTGAGCAGATGTATTCACTGCTCTCTTTAAAACTGGTCTCTATTCAGAAATCAGCATGAAATTTGATACTGCACTTAAAAAGGAAGAATATAATTGCTACCTTAGCTTTTTGTACCTGATCTAACCCTTAAAAATAACTTAAGTTGGTGTAACTTAGTGTAGACCTTTATATTAGGTTACATAATGCAGTTGATTCTGTTGTATTAGATTAATTCACATGTACCACATGAAGTACATTTTCGATCGCCTGACAAAACATGTTTAAAACTCTCTTTATGGTTTTGTTTTAGAGTAATTCCCTGAAAAAGGCCTCTAGCTAAATGAACCGCCCCTTAGGGAAGTCACAGGCACTGCCATTGGCTAAGACAGCTCTAAGGACCCTGGCAAGTAAACATAGCAGAGGAGTGTCGAATTCATTCTTTCAGTTTGTCTGACTACACTGTAAAAAGTGAAATGTGAAGGAGTGACTTCTACCTGACCCATGAGAATGAATCTTGTTGGTCTAATCTAATATAGTCAGGCTGATTCAGGCAATATTTGTGAACCACTTTTCCAGTTACCTGACAAACATATTTTCCAGTGTACAATGGGAAAGTGCTAGTCTGGCATAATATACAGTATTTACATAGGTGTATGAAATAAAATTTTCATATTGTTGTATTCTTTGCTGCTCTAAGGCCGAATGCAATGCAAATCAACTGATACATGACAGATTCAGAAAACAGTTAAATTTTTTGATGATGACCATCTGACTTTCGAGGAACAACATCTCATCATCTCTATCCAGAAACCTAAGCTTGTGGAGGTATCAGTTATCACGGCAGATTTAATTATATCATTAATTCCAAGTCAAGCGAGATAAGCTGATTCAATGCAAAAAGCACTATTAACCTCCTGGGGTCGACAGTTCCGCCAGCGGAACTTTTTGCAGATTTGAATGATGACAGCGAAAAGAACTAAAATGCTCCTTCATACTTGATCGTACATATAAGAGTAATACAGCATTTAAATCTGTAAAGGGTCTACTTTTATTTGTGTACACTCACAATATCAACAAAACATTGTGCTTTTGCAAAATAAAGAAAATAAACAGGGTGTGCTTTTAGCCGTCTCACCCTCCGCGCATATCTGTTTGAAACACGTCACTAAAATGAACTGAAACTCAGCGAATATTTGACACACACACATGAGAGTCTGAAACCTGGCATTTATATTATATGCTAATATACAGTATTTACATAGATGTGTGAAATAAAATGTTCATATTCTTGTATTTTTTGCTGCTCTAAGGCCAAATGCAATGCAAATCAACTGACCCAGGACAGATTCAGTTTAATTTTTTGATGATGACCATCCGACACACCGATCATCTCTATCCAGAAACCTAAGCTTGTGGAGGTATCAGTTATCACGGCAGATTTAATTATATCATTAATTCCAAGTCAAGCGAGATAAGCTGATTCAATGCAAAAAGCACTATTAAAGATGAATGTTGAGGGAATGCAAGTAGATGTAATAACACACTTGAATATGAAAGCTCGTTATCGGTGTACGCTTGGAAGAGCAGGGAGGGACTGGGCATTATAGCCGAACATCTGTAGAAGACATTGATTTTACAAGGCTCTTAAGTGAGGCAATGTTTTCAGTGCATCGATTAAAACAGCAGACGACATGACGGGAGATAAAACCACAAAGTAGCCTTGAAAGTGTGAAGCCAAATTGTTATACGATGATAATTAATGGTGCCCATCCTGAAGTGTGTCTAATGGGTGTGATAGGAGTGGATTAAGTAAGGGAAAGCACTGGCAGAGACAAATAATCCCTGTGCCATATGATTTCCACATATATGGCTTCTAGGTAGGCAGCTCCCTTTAGCTAATGAGAAATCAAACTGATCCCAGTGCAGTTGAGAAACATAAACTTTGACAGATAGAAGAATAGCGAAAAGACTTGTGGGAACTGTGTTAAGAAAAACAGTCATCATCATAATAATAGCTTGTATTGCTGCAATAACAGGCTTTATTGCTTACATAATTTTTAAAGGGATACTTATTTACTCACCTTCACATTGTTCCAAACCAGAAAGAGAAATTTTGAGGAATCTGCCAAATGCTTATTTACATGTAATTACAAAAACTAAAAAGGGAAGCAAAAGCACCGTAAAATGATCTTTAAAATAGTCTACTTGATTTCTTGCACTATTTTCCAAGTATTCTCAAGTCATACAAGTGCTTTTTAAGAGTAACAGATTGGTTATGTTTGGATCAACCGATTCATTGAAAAGATACACCTCTAACAAATCATTTATTTACAAATCATTTCTTCTCTCATGAACACTCTCCCATGGAAAGCTAAGGCAGATGTCAAGATTTTATAACAACTCTGCTTGTTCAACACAAAATTGCCATCTTCTGGCTCCAAAACACTTTGAGAATAACAGCCTTCGAGATGTGCGGATTACTTTTATGACACATTTATTACAGTTCACAGGCTTGACATTTTAAATCCCCATTCACTGTCATTTGATGGAAACTACATTCTTCGAAATTTCGACTTTTGTGTTCCACAGGAAAATAATACAGTCATACAGGTTTAAAGCAACAACATGAAGTTAACTGAATTTTACTTTGGGTGAACTATTTCTTTAATAAACATCACTTCGCAGTGTTCAGTAACACTGCCTTCTTCGCAAGGGTCTAAAAGTAACACTCCATTTGATTTCTGCAGCGGCTTCATGTTAACTTGCCTTTCTCCCCACATAAACATGGACACGCTACTGCTGCTGTGATTCCTGCTCAATGTCTGACTAACATTCCGGGCATTTACGCTGCACCACTTCAACAGTCCTGATACAAACCATTTATTAATAATCTCGTCTGTCGTATTTGTTAACAGATTTGTTTGCGATATATGTTGTGGATTCGCTGAAAGTACGTTAGGCTTCCTATATTTGGCACTGCTATTCTCATTCGCAATCTCTTATATAAGCACATTATACAGCGTGCAGTGACCGTGATATCCACAGAATGACTGTCTGAGCAGAGATCACGGCGCGAAAACACAATGCGCTCGAGCTGCAAAGCTGACCGTTATTTTTGCCGTTCAGCAGTCGAGGCAGCTAGCAACAGGCCGGGATGGAGCGAACTCGCCGGCGAGAAAAACGTCGTTTTCCTTAACATAATGCGGTCGTGTGTAACGGCGACACACTTACCTTGATTTGGCACTGGCGTACTAGTATCTCCACAGCGCGTATGTTTTAACGAAAGGGATGCTTCCCGAGTCGTGGCGGAAACAGGAACTGGGGAGACTGACTGCTGCTGTCTGAATTCTCGCTGCTGGGCTCTTCAGGAGGCTGCTCGGCTGTCGCTGGGCTGCACTGCGCATGCGTGTGTCAGATCACCAAGATACAAGTGCTCCTCGGCACCGATTGCAGTTTCTTGGATCTCATTATTCATGGTTTTGCCAGCGTAATGCGACTGATTTTCTCCGTACAAATGTGACAAACAGTCATTTCACTAATGAGACCGCAGATAAAGCAATTTAAAGCGACCGACCGTGTGGGATTGTATATATAAAAAAAAGATTAATAAAAAAGCCCACTATTATGCAAATGTAAGACACTCTCGGGGTTGTACAGATTAATACATATTACATTTCTAATAAACGTCCAGTCCAACATAAGGCTCGGAAAATCTTATGTTCAGTGTTTCCATTCTGAACATATTATATTGTACTGGACACTGAATTCCTGTTTGCAGTAGTTTTACTGTTTATATAGCATTTTTGTAGCATTTTTATACTTTTACACACATGCATATTTCCATTTAGATACTCTGTATTTTGCTCTCAATATTTGATTTTTAATAACGCTTGACTTGTTTTGTGATAATCTAAGCAATTGTATAAGTTAACTTATTGATGCAAAATACTATCATTTTAACATATAAAAGGAAACAATGAGTTAAAGTTTTAGAGCCTGTCAGGCCAGTGTTATAAGACCTCATTTGGTCTGAAGAAGCCCATTTCTACCTCCTACCTACATTCATGCTTTGAAAACCATCATTACTGTATGACATACAAAGTCATAATTATGAGATAAAAAGTAGCAATTATGAGATAAAAATTCATAGTTATTGGATAAATGTCAAAAGTATGAGATACTAAGATAATTATGAGTTAAAAGGTTGAATTTTTGTAATAATTGACTTTTTCGTCCCTTATGAAAATTAACCATAGTTTTATTATGGTAAAAGTGTAGAAGCTAACCATGTTTTTTTTTTTTTTTTTTTTTTATTGGATTATTTACATTTTTTATA